AAGGCCTACCACATTGTATGATCTAGTTCCTGAAAACCTCTGGCCATTTTTGTCCTTGTTCTTCCTTTCTCCATTTTTCAGGCTTCTCAAACATGCTAAGTTCTTTCCTTTCTTGGGGTCTTTGCACTTGCTATTCCCTCTGCCTAGAATACTGTTTTACTGACTGGCTCTGTATCCTTGTGTTTCAAATTATGTGTCATTTTGTCACAGAGGTTTTTTCTGATCACCTTACCTAAAGTAGGGTCCCCATCCCATTCACCTTAGAATATCATCATACTTGGCAGAATTCACCATTAGACACAATAATCTGTTTATTTTCTATTCCAATCCCACTCCCACACACTAGAATTTAAATCAATAAGCTTTACTTAAAGGTAGAACAATGTCTACCTTGCTTATTATAGGGTCCCAAAAGCCTAACATGGTGCCTGCTATAAAATGGGGATTCAATAAATATTTTTAGTGTATAAAAATATATAAATATATATTGTATAAAATATAGTGTATAAAATATAGTGTATAAAAATATAAAAATAATGTATTTAATATTTTCACTGTTCACCTTCTACAGCTTTCAATGGCAAAATATAGAACTATACTTCATCAGCTGCATAATATTCTATTATATGTATAGATCATGATTTGTTTAACTGATCTTCTACTAATGTTTGAAATAGCTCTTACATCCTTCTCTTGATATTAATTTCTACCCCAAATTACAAGCTTATTCCTCAGACTTATGATTCTAGGAACTCAGGTGTCACAGGGACTAGATTCACCTCCTTGCATGAAACAACCAAAAAATAGACAAAAATATATGAAACAATAGTTTGTAAGAAACTGGACATCAGGTAACAATGAGAGAAAACAAATGGAGCAAGCCCTGTGATTGCCCAGCTTAGTGTCTTAGGACAGTTTCCAGGCTACATCACAGGGAGAAATTCAGGCAGAGCTGGCTGACTCCTGAGATGAGGAGATGGAACTGAGAGTCCAAGGGAGACCCAAGTGGCTACAATGCTCAGAAGGGAGTACTGGAAAGGAGAGAGCTGCCTAGAGAGAGAACTCCACAGACCTATGGAAGGACTCCTCCAGTTTCAGCTGAATACTCATCAGTGCCCATGTGTCAGGAACCCATCTGAGACCAGGGAAAGAACCACTTGAAAAGGATTAGAGGTTACGGTGCTAGGTGCTCACACAGGCTGGAAATAGTACCTCTTCCTACCAACCAGCTTGGAAAACCTCCAAATTCACAGGCGTCAGGTAGAGTACTTGAGGATCTTGCGTCAGTAGTTAGGGGATAATTAGCCCTAGACCTAGTCCTGCCTAACAAGTTTTAAAAACCAAGACCTGAAAGGACCAAACTTTTTCTGAGTACTAGCACACAAGGCAAAATTTACAATGTCAGGCATCCAATCAAAAGTAGAATGCATGCAAAGACACAGGAAAACACGACACATAAATAGAAAAATCAGTGAAAACTGACCCCAAACTAACAAGATAGTAGAATTAGCAGACAAGGACATTAAGTTTGAGAAAATAATGGTTGAAAAAATTTCAAACTTGATGAAAACTATAAGGCACAGATCCAAGAAATACAACTAACTCCAAGGAAAAGAAATATGAAGATAACTACAACAAAACGTATAGTCAAATTGCTTAAAACCAATGAGACAGAAAAACCTTAAAGACAGCTAGCAAAAAATCTCTATGTACTTCCACACATTTGCCCTGAGAAGAAAACCCTACTTCATCACCTCTAATTAGGCAAACGTGAAAAGAGTCACAAATATTCTCTTCATGTACCTGGCTTTATACAAGTTATTGGTTAGTAAAGAAGTACTAAGAGCTGTTCTTGATTTATTCTGAGAACTACTATCCTGAAAAACCTCTGTCATATGTCCAAAAATAAATGGGCTAACCAGTCAACCGATTTTTACCGGTTTGAGACTAGATGACTTCCCATTTATATATAATAAAGTAGATTGAGCTGATGATACATATTAATAGCCTACTCATGGTTGTTTTAACTTTTACATTCAAATTGCTTAATTATAAAAAGATAGATCTCTAACTAAAATGTAAAATTATTTTTAAAAAATTGGAAGGAATTTTGTATAAAGAGATTCTTTATTTTAAATAATTTTCTATCTTCATTTCATACAACCCCCTGGTTCCTTCCAGTCCTCACTTCTCTGACATGTGTCAATGAGTTTTAATAAACATCTTTGGGGTGCCTGGGTAGCCTAGTGGGTTAAGCCTCTGCCTTTAGCTCAGGTCATGATCTTGGGGTCCTGGGATCGAGCTCTCTGCTCAGTGGGGAGTCTGTTTCCCCTTCTCTCTCTGCCTGCCTCTCTTCCTACTTGGGATCTCTCTCTCTATATATATTGAATAAATAATAAAATCTTTTAAAAAAATCTTCAAAACGGACTGAAGAAGAGGAAGGCAAGAGATGAAACAGGGAGTGCTGTTCACTGGATTCGTTTCCCTGATAATAAATGTAAGTGCATAATGACAAAGAAAATACCATTTGTCAATAAAATACCAATGTCAAAAAAATACCAGTCAATAAAAATACCAATGTCAATAAAATACCAATGTCAAAAAAATACCAGATTATGTCTTCTTCAGTTTTATCAAAATCACTTCGAACCCTCTCAGGTTCACCTAACAGTTGTTGTGGACCCAGGGGTCCACCACTCATTCTGAATTCAAGTGAAAATTTTTTCCTTTGGCTCTCTTTAGTTGGGCTGAAGCATGCTATAGCTTTCAAATAAATTTGACTACACTGTCAGTAAAACATGGATAAAGAACATAAGAAATGTGAAAACCCTGGTCTAAAATACAGGTCTCTATGCAATGGCTTCCTCACAGGACCAAAGGCATTTTCCCATTCCATACAGCAGAACCTCAGGCGTACTCGCACTGCTCCTTAGCTGTTTTCATTTTAATAGTGTTAACCATGACTTAGCTCCTAGGAGATTTCTTGCTATTACTGTGGAGAAGACTAAATGAAGCAGATTCTCAACATTTTCTCTCTCTAGGATTGTTCCTTCCCAGTCTGATTCAGGAATTTAAAAAAAAAAAAAAAAAGATGATTGATCTAGAATACCTGCTCCCTTCAGGTAAGAGTCCCCCACATATCCATAACAGGAATTTGTTTTCTACTTTTAAACCTAAAGGTGTAACCAGATCCTAATACAAAATGGAAGAGTGACAATCACATCATTCTGTGTGTGTGTGTGTGTGTGTGTGTGTGTGTGTGTGTATCAACAAACTTGTTTCATTTTCCTTCCACTTTGCTGAGAGCCTTTAGCTAGCTAATAGCAACACGGTTCTCAGGCTCCTAGGTATATACACTTTGCTTCTGGGTATACATACCCCTTAGCACTGTTCCTAGATCTGAAGGTCCTTGATGGGTTTACCCTTAGAGAAACTAAGTGCTTTTTACCTTTTCGCACAATAACCCATCAATACAGAGCAAGGTGTAGGCTAGAGTGTTTTATCTCCTGGAGTGCTTTTGTCACACGTCCAAGTCCTATGGAACCACAACTGGAGCTGGAAGAACCTGTGTACTGTTACTTCTCTGCTTATAAGCTGCCTTTACTAATAAACTTTCCTGCAATTAGCACTTTGTGTGTCATTAGCGGTTTTTGTAACCATGCATCTTGTACAAGAGTTGGTGTCCAGCAAAGTCCTAATGTCATGGATTTCTGGAAGAGGAGCACACAAGGGTAGAAGATTTTCTCCTTGGGGTCAGCTGTAATTCATTTGGTGGGGTTAGGATGGTCTCAGTAGCTGTGCCCAAGGATGGCAGAAGCTCTAATGTGGACACCAAACAGGGAGACTAGTGGTGATAAAGTGGCTTGAAATGTAGTAATCCCTCCTTCCTTACCAGCTTAGAGACTTTCAAGAGTCTAAAGCTGGAGGGTGAACTAGAAAGGGTGGCAGCCCCTGTAGAAAGGAAAGTGAGGCAAACTCCCATGATCCCTCTGTTATGATATATGAGGCAACTAGCCCCTGGGATAGGAAGCCAATTATTGTGAGGCATGCTCTATAGGAGCCTGAGTGGGAATACCAGCAGAAGGAAATCCGGCGATAAACAGAGTAAGAAGAGCTAGATTCTCAACAGGAGTACCACCAAAAGCAGCACTTGGAAGGATCCTTAGAGGCTTGGCTTATTTGTTTACATGGTGAAGGGACAATAGTGGTATTAAAACAAGTGGAGGAGGGGGAAATGCCCTTGTTACAGAATGAGCATGAGCATGGGTTAACTAGTAGTGCTGGGACAGGTACGGCCACACTTTTCAAACTGGATGCTTGGTAGCTTTGGTAAGATCCCTGTTGGGGTGATTTTCTTGAGACTCTTGAATGTGAACTGGACTAGATCCACATAGGACGTAGCTGCTCTGAGATACTAGCTATGTTAGCATGATGATAAGAAACCCCAGGGCTTGAGAGGAGAAGGCCTGATAACATGATCTTCATGCAAAGGATGTTAAATGATAGAATCAGAACCTAAGTGGACAATAGTTTTGACTTTACTCCTTCATCTGAGAGGCAATGTGAGAAAAGATACAGTTATGGGGCGCTTGGGTGGCTCAGTTGTTTAAGTATCTGCCTTTGGCTCAGGTCGTGATCCCAGGGTCCTGGGATCGATCCCCACATCGGGTTCCCTGCTCGGCGGGAAGCCCGCTTCTCCCTTTCCTACTCCTCTTGCTTGTGTTCCCTCTCTTGCTGTGTCTCTCTCTCTCAAATAGATAAACAAAATCTTTAAAAAAAATAGTTCTTTCAGATCATACGAGCCCCATTTCAGGTGAGGAAATGGAAAAGAGAGCCTAATTTGTGGCACATGTTTTTATATGAAATAAAAAGAAAAAAGGAACAAAGAAAAGAGAAGATAGCTAGACTTCTGGCAGAGACTCCCTCACACAAATAAATGTAGTACTGCTTATAGAGAGAAGGATTTATAAAACAGAAGTTAATATGTTGTATAATTCTAGAGTGTGGAAGTGTTCCCTGCCTCAAAAACCTAAAAGACTAATGGTGGAAAAGAGACCTGTGAGATGAGACACAGAAGATCCAACAGCCATGAGCTTGAAAAGTCGTCCACAGAGGGGGATTCACCAGAAGATTAGGTGAAGAAGGTGCCTGGGGAGGACTGTTCTTCAGAGATTACAGCTGTTAAACCTCACCCCCACCCACCATCTGATAAGATCTCATAGTCTCTAGACTCTTCAAGAAAGGATTTGGAGAACAGAACCTAGGGAAATACCCTGTATCATCTCAACTCCTGAAATGAGGTTATGGGTGGAAATACTGTCATCACCTCCACCTTACGAGTTTGATTCAACTCCAGAAGCCAGACGTTCTCTGTTCCTAATCTGGGCTCTTTCAAATGTAAGAAGGACTAGGGCTGGGCTCTGTCCCTGGGTCCCCCTCCAAAGGATTGCTAATCACCCTCACTGTGCTGAAAGAAGAGCCTCAAACATTTATGGGCTTGCTAAACAATGAGGGACCAAGTACCTACCGTTACAGAATGCAGAAAGGACTTGGCCAACAAGTTCTTTTATTGGAGCTGGGAGTTGGTTGTTACCTATGGCTCAAAACCCAGAATCACATTCACTGCAAAGGCTTTTGGGCCTTTTGTGTGAACTCCAGTTGTTCCTTTATCAGACTGCATACTGGCATGGAAATACTGATGTATTTAAGTCCCGCACAAGCATTTCCACATATCACTTGGACATATTTGTTGTGACCTCTATGGCAGCTTTGGTAACTGTTGGCCAGGCGTGTTGTCAACACCCAGATGCACTGACCAGGTCTGCCAAGGCTGCACAACACAGTTACATACCTGGAGGAGAAAGACTGCATTTCTTATGCAAGAACAGATTCAGGTGGGGGTACTGAACAATGCCATTTTGCTATTTAACAACCCTGTTTGACACTAGCACTACAAGGGCCTATGACTCTGGCAAAGATATTCTGATGGCATTTGTTAGCTTTTGAGTATCTGATATTCTCTAGCCACTAAACAGTATATACTGTTCCTGGATATGAAGGAGTTATTACATCTCTCCCATGTGTGGACCATATAATACTATCAAGACTGAGACATATTTATTATATAGCAGGGTTTCCAGAAATGATACAATCATACATTTGGAGTTCCTTTCATAGTTGCTGCCTTTCAGCAATGGGCTGGCCAACATAGTACTAAATGGCTGGTCCATGTTCCCTCTTCTCCACAGGCAGTACAGAACACTGGAATAGTATTCTAAAATATGGTTGCACGAACTCCTCCACAGTTACCTCCAACCACTGTCTTGTCTGGCTGCCCCCTACTGTTTATACTCTGAACACTCCTCATACCGCATAAAGGTCCCTACACTTTGGTGAAGTTCCCTGACATCTTGAAGTTGAAGAGCAGAGATGAAGAATCTACTTGGCATCCCGGGGACCCAACATTCCTCTCCTTTTTTGGTACCTTTCAACTGGTGTCTGGAAGGCTCCTGCTGTTCATATTACGGATGAATAGATGGACACAAATGCCGATATTCTCTTGTTTTCCAGATGACACTTGCAAGTAACACCTTGCAGGAAGGGCAATTTGAATTCTCTCTTTATTCCAAACAGTTCTAAATTTTTGTTGTGCACTCACCCTATAAGCAGAAGATTTTGCTGCAGTCCTTATACCCATACAGTGTACTCTGTCTGGAGGACATCTTTGGTGGGAAAATGGCACCTCCTGATTTCATGTGGAACTTACTGTTTCAGAAAAAAAGGACAGACTATGGATCGCCCCTGAAGATAATGACGGACTTGGCATGGGGATAAGCATGCCTACCTCAGAGGGTGAGAGGGTGGATGTAGTGTGAATAACTTTCTTGTCGCCTTTCTTACAGATATTAACAAATTGTACTGAATAGTCCTCTACAGCGAACCCACACAATGACACTTATTTCAAAGCTATCAGGATGCTGTATTTGTCATCCTCAACCTACTTAATTATAGAGGACCTTGTGGGCATTCCACTCACAGACAATGCCACAGGAAATACTCATTACTCCACACTCCTCATCTACTTGGGCTATCCATAATTCTGTCCTTACTAATTATACTGTGTAAAACTCTATCTTCTTAGAAGCAGAGGGACACTCATATCCTGACAACTCAGCTCCCAGTGACCCATTTCCCACATCAGGGGTGCCTGGTAGCACTTTTCTCCCCTTTGACCTACAGTTGAGTCTGACTAATGGAAGGCTGGCAGTTATCCCCCAGGAAGTATAAATGCCATACGGATACAAAATGCAGCATTGAACCAGACTGGCTGACACTCTGTGATCCAGTAGAACTTGTTTTCTTATGTGAACAGCAGGGCCTTCCTGCTTCCTACCTGGACATAACATTGTCTGCACACTTTATGAATAACTATGAGATCTTTTATAATGCCTTTAACTGGCTGGTTAGCTTAGTTGCTTAGAGTGCAGTACAAATAGTGACTCAAAATCTAAAATGCACTCAAGATTTTCCCAGCTATGATCTCTGGTGTCAGCATCAGAATGTACCTGTAAATCGACAGGTACAACAAATTGTACAGGGAAACAAGCTTTCATTACTTAGCACAAGGGCTCTTCCCTTGATAGGCTGAAGCTGAGGGTATGACCCCAAATCAGCTACCCCGGGGGACAATGCCATTGAGAAGTCTTGGGGTCTTACCACTGAACACTTTAGCATTGATTCCTTGACCTGAATAGTATTATAAATGTATAGTTTTGGACTGTTTGTTGGATATACTATAGAAATATGGCTTAGGGGAAATCTAAATCTACTAGTGTTGTGGATATTGTTTGTTTGGAATTTCTCTGGCTTATCTGAGGCCTCCTTCAGAAGACACCATTTAAAATACAATTGTTAGAATGTTTATAGCAGCAGTGTCCACAATATGGAGACTATGGAAAGAACCTAGATGTCCATCAACAGATGCATGGATAAAGAAGATGTGGTATATATATCTACAATGGAATACTATGCAGCCATCAAAAGAAATGAAATCTTGCCATTTGCAACAATGTGGATGGAGCTAGAGGGTATTATGCTGAGCGAAATAAGTCAGTCGGAGAAAGACAATTATCATACGATCTCCCTGACACGAGGAATTTGAGAGGCAAAGCAGGAGGTTCATGGGGGAGAAGGGAGGAAAAAATGAAACAAGATGGGACTAGGGACAAACCATAAGAGACTCTTAATCTCAGGAAACAAACTGAGGGTTTCTGGTAGGGGCGGGAGGAGGAGGGTTAGGGTGGCTGAGTGATGGATATTGGAGAGGGTATGTGCTATGGTGAGTGCTGTGAATTGTGTAAGACTGATGATTTACAGACCTATGCCCCTGGGGCAAATAATACATTATATGTTAATAAAAAATAAATAAAAATAAAATAAAATATAAATGACAGAAGGCATCCATCAAGTGAGCCACACCAAGGGTCAGGGGGTGGACTAAAGGGGAATAAACCCTCAGTTATAGCTAAATGGTTACAGGGGCTCTCCTCCTTCCCTCTTCCCTGAGGCCTATCAGCAAGCCAGATTAGCCACTGAGCTAGTCTGCAGAGGGACAGCAGGGTCTTTAGCTGCTGTCAGCACTGTTCCCAAGGCTCTCAGTATGTGGAATCTGCCCTTTGTATTCCCAGGCTCAGAGTTCCTTTGATATATATGTTGTTGCTTAGAGAAACAAAGGGTTTTCAACCTCCTCTTGAACTAACCTAAAAATACAGAGTATGGGGGCACCTGGGTGGCTCAGTGGGTTAAGCCTCTGCCTTAGGCTCAGGTCATGATCTCAGGGTCCCGGGATGGAGCCCCGTATCAGGCTCTCTGCTCAGCGGGGAGCCTGCTTCCCCGCCTCTCTCTGCCTGCCTCTCTGCCTACCTGTGATCTCTTTCTCTCTGTCAAATAAATAAATAAATAAAATCTTTTAAAAAAAAATACAGAGTATGAAGGAGGGCACCTCTCTCGGGAGCTCTTGCTGCTTGTCCAGTCTGCAGTCTGGACAACAGTGCTGTGGAACCAGTATAGGGGCTCAGCAGATCCTATGTTCTTTGTTATGTCTCTACTCTAGAGTTGCCAGACTGATAAACTTTGTTGTTATTAGCAGCATGTGTTTCACTTATGGTGTGAGTTATCTTGCATCTTACAAAACATGAATTTAGTTAATAGTTTTCTTTGGAGGTAATCCAAGATCTGGTCTTCTCTTTGGATAAAGCTATTATAGGGATTTTTAAAAATACTTGGGCATTTATTTTTTTAAAACTTGTGCATTTAAACTTTTAAATAGATGAATGTTAAGTCTAGTTTCATTAAGAACAGATTGTGCTTTTATTTTTTTATTTTATTTTTTTAAGATTTTATTTATTCATTTGACAGAGAGAGAGATCATAAGTAGGCAAGAGAGGCAGGCAGAGAGAGAGGAGGAAGCAGGCCCCCCGCGGAGCAGAGAGCCCGATGTGGGGCTCGATCCCAGTACCCTGGGATCATGACCTGAGCCGAAGGCAGAGGCTTTAACCCACTGAGCCACCCAGGCGCCCCCAAGATTGTGCTTTTAGATAATTTTTTTTAAGTGATAAATGAAAGGAATAGAATATTGCATATTGTTAATACTGTATTAACTTTTAATATCCACTTATTTTATGGTAGTTTCTACCAGTTAGCACTTACTCATCCTTATCAGCCTTGCCTCTCAGATACACTACTTTCCTATAGTGCACACTAATATGCTCTTGTTCTTTGCCTGGTATATATAGTCTATCTTTCCAATTAGACTGTGAGCTCTTTCTGGCCAGAGATAGGTTAATTTATTCTTTTGTATCTCCATAATGCTTAGTATAAGGCATAATATAAGTGTATATTAAACACTTGATTATTAAAATCATAAAGGTTTTTCATTTTAATGAGCTGGAAGATAAAGGAAAGGGATCTACATCTGTTATTTATTTTATAACTTTCATAGCACTTAAAATAATATAGCATATGCACATTCATCAGTGAATTAA